TAGGCTTTGGAGAGTCAGGTCTCCAATCCTAGGGTCCAGGGATAGGCAAAGCAGGGATAGGCTTTGGAGAGTCAGGTCTCCAATCATAGGGGCCAGGGATAGGCTTTGGTTGGAGAGTCTGGTCTTCAATCCTATGTAGTAACAAGGTTCCATGATATGGTTTGACTTCAATCATATAGTCATATGAACACATGTTGCGTAGACAATATAGGGTTTGTGTGGGTAATGTATGTTGTTTGTATTGGGCTGATATGTCTACTGTTTGATTTTGTGTTGTTTGTTTTTTGTTGTCACATAAGATTAAAAACAAATGCCTATGATATGTTTGTTTCAAAAACATACATCACAGCATCGCAAAACACAAAAAAACAACAGCTTTGACATCGACTGCTGGATTTGCATCGGTGTGTTTTATGCGCGCGAAATGATGGACACGCATATAGATCATGATTCGCAGACTCTATCAGAAGCCCTGGGGGACCTCGTGGTGCAAGAGTATGGCTGGTCAAACAATGATGACAACCTGTCTATGGATGTAGAAACCAGTCCTGACAAAGATGATGACCTGACCAAGATGCTCAACATGTCTGAGTTGAATGTGATCGCCACCACATCAGACCGATTGATATCTACTTTGGGAACCTTTCAACAACAGCTTCCTTACCTGGAAGAGATTTGCACAAATATGGCAACGGAGGAGTCAAAGATTCGAGACACTGTGAAGAAACTCAATGCCAAGGATAAACTGTTGCCACCAAGATCCAAAGGGAAGATGTTTTGCAGAGGGTATGCAAAGATCCACAACTACCGGCTTGATCGGGTTGGCTCTACGGAAACAATCAGCCTGGGCACATTGGGCACATTTGTTGAGGATTCATCAGGCGCATCTGGGTCTTCCGGGCACGGGCAGGATCCTACCATTGCTCCTGCTCCAGCTGCGCAAAATGCTGCTCAACATGTTGCTCAAAACATGGCTCAAAGCATCAGTTCAGATGGAGGCACTGTCTTGGCGCATACTATCAAGAGCGAGACAACTGAGTCTCCTGGTGAATCTGGTTGCAACAAACGCAAATATACAGACACCAAAGGCATTCGGGTTGTGAGTTCCAAAAAGCAGCGTTACAATTCTTGATGGAGGATTCAGATGATCCCGAACTAGTGATTGAGCAACTACGGGAGGCACTGTTGGAAGATTCCCTCAGCACTTGCTACAGCGGCATTGAGAGTGCCCACACTGCCACGAATTGCATCGCATATGCGCTTTCAGAGCTGACAGGAGAAGATATGATCCATGTGCCACTCTACCACATGATTGAGTGGGATGTCCAAAACCGGAAGGAGCTATTGCTGATGTCAGACATGCGCCCAAATTGCTGCCTATTCGCTGATGTTGCTGGATTCTTCCGTGAAGAGCTCCTGTCAACAATTGAGCAGTTGAAAGAAACATATCTGAGCAATCAAGAAGAACTTGTTTGTTTCATTATATGGCAGTATTTATGTGCGTTGTGTTTATTGCTTTTATGAAACTTGGGTGGCGGAAAATCACACAAACTAACACTGACGATTCAGGACCGCCCGGGAATGTGCATTGAAGTTCTCGGTCCTCTTATATCTTCTGGAAGGGCCATGTGGACTTCATCATTCTGCATCAGACATCAGAAGACACTTTGCTTGAAAACGTCAATTACAAAGGTACTACCAATATATTACAGTTTGTATGCATGTATTGATCACTTGGTGTCGCCTTTTGCTGTGTGATTTGTTTCCTCAACAGGCTGAGCAGAGTGTGGACACCTTGCACACTGGACCTAGCGTCATTTATCTTTGGATAGACAAATAACTCAAATAACACCATCTACATCCCAATAGTCTTAAGAGACAACATACATTGCTTATACTCAATACTTTATGTTTTGAAGCTTTGATCGTCTTTGACCGTTGTCTTTCAATGCTAATTTGCGATCGTTTGAATCGTTTGACATTTTGAGTTGTTTGCATCCATTGTGCTGGTTAGTTGATTAAGAAGCTAAGGATATGTAGTCTCAAAACTGCTCGACGTCATTGCGCTGGAACATCATGTCGCCCATTTAGTAGACGTGGTTCGGGCCTGGGCCTTCTGGATACAGAAACTGTATTTCTTCTTGCCTGGGTTGGTTTACGTGTGATGCTGCAAGAACCCGAAGTGATTCAGGAGAATGTTGAAGGATGCAGTCTTGATGTATTTGCAAGATTTCTGCCATTGTATCACATAGATCGGCATGTGGATGAGCCTTGCAACTATGGATGGCCGGTTGCCAGGCCACGCCAATACTTGAAGATGAGACACAAGGTGAAGATTCTAGATCAAATCTCACCTGTATCAACCTTCTGCAAGAGATTTTGGCGTGCAGTGAGCTTCTCCTGGCATGAGATCATGTGCTTCCATGAATCAAGATTGTGGAACAAGGGAGTCATTGATCAAGAGATTGACAAGGAGCTGGATTGGGCACAATGTCGACCCAACGGCAAGGCCCATGGTCAAGCGCCTTTGGTTTACGGCAATGAGCGAGAGCTCTTCTTGGCCGCATTGACTGAGAGTGAAACCATTCAGTGGGAAGCTTACAAAGCCAGATGGCCAGGATGCGCGGGTCAGCTCAACCAAGATGCTATGTCACCTCATGCGACACACAGCACAGAGTGGTGCTTGCACACACTCATAGCTAACTGTGGTCTGATTATGTCAGACAAGGTGTGTCCACAACGCTGGCTATTGGCATCTGAATGCCTACTGGCTCAGGGGTTCCCGATATTGGAGGGTTGCTTTGGTGGAGCTACGTTGTTCGGAAGCATTGGCAAGGGACACGATTGCTTTTTTGTTGTGTAAACGAAGGAAGCATTGACATGGTCATGCATTCTATGATTTGGCATCATGTTAGCGTGTCAGGGTATTCAACGAGATGTTGTCACACAGTTCTCAAGTTCAACACAACTCAGCGCAACCACAATGCTAGGGAGTGCTCTACTCTACCTTAGTTGTGCATAGATTTAGTAGTGAAATAGTCGCGGTAGTAGAAAGCATGTTACAATTCAAGCTCTGTGTGCTTTGCTGATATGCAGAATGCCAAGTTGCCAAGGTTGTGCAGCTTCAACATGAAACGTGAAGATCGGAATTCAAGAGTAGTCCGTCAGCAATGCGGAGACGCAATGAATATCCAGGTGATGAGTGCACTCTTCTTGCATTCTTTGCTGTGCTACCGGTGGCAAAAGCCTAGTGCTTTGATGAAGAGTGTTCACTTGGGCAGACAACTGCTATGCCAGAGTATCCGTGAAGCAAAGGGGCAAAAACGAACTCGTGTGGTTTCCAAAACCTCCTTGGGCAACATTTTGGAATCAGCGCGCGCGGAATGTGGAAATGATGGCCGACAGGCCAAGCCACATACACAGAGCTCAGCCGCCAATCAAGACACTACCACTTCCGCCACGTGTTCGTCTGCGCCTGCATCATCATCAGCAGGACCAGGACCAACAACATCCATGTGTGGAAGTAGTCGCTTGACTTCAGCGTTGGTCCTTGCGCGTCGCGCTCGTGGTAAGCAGCCAGATCGGAAGAGAATGACTGACTCTCGCTGAGAGACCTGAGTGTGGTCGCTGCTCTAATCTGATCTAGTGAGCCTAGTGAGCCACACTGTGCCGCCGCACTGTCACAGTCACACTTCACATTGTTTCATGTTTGTGGTGTTACGTGGATGTTGTTGTTCAAGATTTATGTGTTTCTTGTTTATTTATTCTTTGTTGTTTAGACAAGCGCCTGCCTGAGGGGGGTGTCAAAGGAGATTGCGGTGTTTGTCTCTTTTTGACGCGTAAAGCTTTAGGCTTTAGGCACAATCCCGGCGCAGCACAGATTCTACTCCTTGTCGTGGGAAAGCTACGGCCTGGATTCAGGAACGGCCTTGTGTTGGAGAATGAAATTCACGCTTGTGAGATTTGCTGTAGATCATTGCTCCATCAGAATCAATATCAAGAAATCAAGAATCAACAATCAAGATCGAGAACACGCGCACGAGAACACATGTTACATGTCCTCCTTTATATATTTTTTTTGGGGGAGCTGATTCCATTTGTGTGCCTTTGCAACACAGACTATGGTTGTTGTCTCTGAATACCAGTCTTCATGCAGGCGCAATTGCATTGCTGCACAGCTGGATCGTGAATGTCAGCCGCTTAGTCTGCTTCATGTGTCAGGCAATATTGCATTGCCAAGTGGCAGTTAGTGAACGTGATAACAACTTATCCTGTGGTATTACACATCAGTGACAATCCCAATGAATTTTGGAAGTCAATGCTGCTTTGCACAGTGTTCACTGTGTCATTGTGTTGAATGTTTTGGACAGGAGAGGGACAGGACTCATGTATGTTGACTAGTGGCGTCATTTGCTCACTGCCAAGCGTTTGTTCTTGCACAACTTTTGCTCAAGACTCTTGTTCATTTGTTCATGCAGTTCGCCGCCGCCACACTCTGGCATTCTCGGCGATCGTTTTGGGCTTTTGAGTTACATTCAAGACGATTGCATCAGAGATCCCTGATCCCTGATATCAAAGCATGGCAACGACAAGTGAACAATGCCAGACCAGTGATGCTGTGCCAGAGAACAAGGGAATTCTTTGGGGCAAGTCGGTCGAGCAAGTGAAGGACATGGGCATAGACCTTGCTGATCCAAATCCTGACATCCCCTACTTGCTGGGAGATCTGTCAGGAGCAGTCTTTCTTGAGCAGGTATTCAAGTTTTGGGGCGATGGTGAGTGCGAGTTTATCCCATGGTTTTACGATGATGCGAGTACTCGGGAAGGGCATGATCGTGATGTTATGCCTGCTTTGGCACACGCAGAGGGCACCCGTGTTGAAGTTCAGGGCAAACTCAGGACCACTGGCACTGGCATTGTCACTGTTGCTGTAGTAAGTTTGCTTCTACTTCTCTTGTATGGCAGCTGTGCCTGGCTAACCCTTCAACATGTCTTTCTGTAGTCTGTAGTCTGTAGTTTGTAGTCTTCCTTTTGTACTTGGCCATTCTCTACTTGATTTCTTCGATGTAAATTTGGATTGCTTCACAGGACGGTTCTTCGTTCAGAGCTCTCTCGGCCGATTCAAGAATCTACACGCGAAACATACAAGGCAAGTGGTGGTGGTGAGTGGACAACTGTTTGGACATAGGGTAAATGAATCGGGGTGTATTGTGGGATGGCTGGCTGGGAATCACATGGCAGTCCATCACACTAATCATGCCGATCTTACCTGTGCCTGCGCGCTCCGACAGGCTCGCATATACAGAGAGGGACTCTCTCAGATGGCATCAGGAGAAGCCGTTTTTAAATGGTCTACTCAGCGGAAGACTTGGCCTGTGTCTGCTGGCGCATTTAATCACCGTGCTGAAGCCCTTTATCGATGCGCCGCAGAGAACCCTCTACATGACCTTGTCCAAGACGCTTTGAGGAAAGGGTTGCGGAATGTAAAAATGATGTAGCTTGGCATTGGTGCTGTGCTGAAAGTTTTAGTTGTTCCTGGTTATTTCTGCAACAATCTTTCAGTTGTTGTGAAGTACATCTTTAAAGTTTGGTGAAGCTAGACTACACATGTTCAGTTGCACTCAGTTGCACTGCACTTAGGCGGTCAGACATTCCAGATTCCGTCTGGGCCAAGTTCATTTCTACCCACAATGACTTTCATGCTGGGTCTGGCAATTCATACCTTGACTATGGTTCTGATGCGTTGGACATGGAAGCAAAGTGGAAGGAGCACTGCAAAACTACCGGGATGTGTCACTTGGATTTGGAGCACACGTGAAGTTCATATCATACATACATAATACTGGTTTGTATTATTGTGTGTTTTGGCTGTCTAGAAAACATTGGATGCCAAGAACACCTTACACATTATATGTTGTTGCTGTTGTGTTTTTGTTTTTGTTGTTGCTATGTATAAATATTCTACGTAACCTGTCCACTGTCCGCAATTTTGTGCTGTTTGTTTTGAAAAGGATTTTCCGTTTGCTGTACGTGTTTTTATCCAAACGTTTCCCATTTAAGTAAGGTGCTGCGAACCCTCAATACCGGCCTGAGTACGAGAAGTTTGTATTCAAGCACAGCAACTTCTTCCGCAGGTGGAATCCATTTTCAACAACGTTGAGCGTGGTCCACACGCTGCAGAAGTATGAGATTTGGTTTCTTGCCTTGGCGCTCTAGTAGCCTGTCACCGTGTGTATGTCTCCACAATGATGTGATTTCTTTTTTCAGATGTTCTAGTTTTCAATTGTTCATAATGTTTTTAGTTTTCAACTTTCAACTTCCCATAAACTAAACATATTTTTGAACATATAGAACATAAACGAATTCGAATTCTTAGACAAATAGACAAATATAGAGGCATCAAGTGAAGCACGATTCGATTCAAACGAACAAATGTTTCACAGCTTGCTACTCAGGGACAAGTTTTGCGATTGGAGCCGCGCGAATGTGAACTTTCTCGACACAAAATTAGAGCCTGCTGGTGTTTTGTCAGTGAGGCACACACTGGCTTTGGTGATTGAGAACTCGATGAAGAAGTTCTACGAGAAGGAGCTTGTGGGGATCACCATTTTTGAAGCGCTGAAATTCTGTGCTACTGCCTAAGTTGATTTTGATGAAATCCACCCCATTGACAAATTGACAGACTATCAGATCTATGTGTCACTTTCAACAACTGACGTCTCCTAGGTTCCCACTTGCGGTGCGACTGGCGAACGTGTGCTTTTCTGGTCATTTGAGAAGTACAGTGGGGATGTACACAACCGCATGAATTTGGTGGGCCTCCCTATGGCATCTTCAGTTGCTTTCAAGAAGCTTTCAGCAGCAGCAAAGAAAGCGTCCAACAGCGAGAGCAATGTGTCTAAGTCTTCCGGTGGTTTGGCAAACTTTGACAAGAAGCAGCTTGCAGAAGGGGTTAGGGCCTCAAAGCAACATTGTGTTTGTCAAACTGGAAGGAAGTCAGTATGCGCTGCACTGTTTTTGATTTATCTAGTCTACTGACTGAGCCCATACAAGATTCAATGTACACTGTTGGATTAATTCTCATCTCTCAGATTGGAATAGGAATTGCTCAACAAATAATCAAGTTCGAGGATAAACCAAAAACAATGTTCACATCTGCATCCGGTGCGCTCTACTTCAGGTCAATGCTCAAATCAGCACCTGTCTTGGACAGCCGAGTGGCGGTACCGATGCAAACATGGATCCAACACATGATATGGCTGATCACGAAGAGATTTCTGATGATGACACCGGTGTTGCTGGAAAACATTCCAAGGGAAAGCGACAGCTCCAGGGTGAAGAAGAAACTATGGCCAGCATATGGTGAGGACGAGAAAGCGTGCCTGATTTGCATTCTGCACATTTTACAATTTTAAAATTTGGTTCCGATAGGGCTGTTGATAAAATAAAAGTGTGAGTTGGAACACATCATAAATTTAGGATTGTTCTTTTATACAATAATAGAATAAACATTGGAAGCATTGATTATATACACACCGACATTTTGAATTGTATTGTATCCATCTGCTCTCTCTCTCTCACTTTACCGAGGAGTTTCACAACATTCATCCAGAGTCTGAACAAGGAGGAATCTCGGGAGAAGACTGCGCTTGACGACATTTTGTGGGCTCTTCAGTTTGTGCTGGACTCTTCTGCCAAACCCAAGGAGCAAGCGACGAAACGCTCTCGCAAGCAGAAGGAGTCAACTGGTCAAGGAGATGCTGTTGACGCGGCTCTGAAAACCAAGGCTTTTTGCATTTCCATCTTTCTTCAGTTTGCCTTCGAAGGGGCAGTGAGCGTAAGCGGAAAGCTGGTGAAAGCCTACAGTGCTTTGCGCTCTGAGCTTCAGCAGGTAATGCTTAGTGCAATCGAAACCTTCGTGAACAACGGACCGCATGGGGCAGGATCAAAGGTTGATGCAATGGAACTTTGATCATTACTTGCTGAACAATTTGCTGACAAGCCAGTGATGAGTGTGGTTGGGGATGATGATGAGGAAGCTTGCGTCAAGCGTGTAGTTTCTACTTGCAACATTCCCTCCCAACGAGACGCAGTTGTGAAGCCTTTGCAGGAGTTTGCTCGCACTAAGCTCCATTTGCCTTTGATGCTTCATCCTATGCCCCAAGTCACCTTGATAGAGCTTTCCCGCGTGTTGTCCAGTGGCAGTTCCTCCATGAGAACTCTGGTGGATGTTATCTCTTTCATTCAGAGCAAACTCGAGGATAATTTTCCTTTCAGCTGGGTCATGTTCTGCTCGGATGTGAGCGACGTTTTTGTGTGCAAGGGTCACTTTATCGAAACTTCTGGAGAGGCAGGGCCAGGGTTAAGGTTAATGAGACACGGCCGACGGACGATCACTTGCAGAATTGTGGACAATGAACATTGTAATTGTTTCAATAACACCAACACTATCAGGCTATCAGGATGGTCAGGTTTGAATTAAATCACATCATTGCCAACTCAGCCGCAGTTGTGTGACTATCCATTCATTTCAAACATCACGTCACCTTGATCGGACAGGTATTCCAGAACAAAAGGGATAATGTGGATGCCATGACAACTTTGCGATT